AAACTACAATTATTCCATTTATATCACAGAAGAGTTGAACATACACCATTTTTTTTTATAAATAAAATTAAAGAAATAAAATTAAAAATCAACATATTCAAGTTCAACATAACTTGAATTCGTATCCAGGTTTCATGTGATAGGCCTATGGAATGCATAACGCATACATATATATGGACTAAACACTAAAATCCTTCAGTAATTTTTTCCTGATAAATATAAAAACAGTAGTCAATATTTATTCTGCATTCATGAATTTAAAAACTAATGCATACCTCCGGGATTCAAATGACGAAATACCAGAATATTTGCACTGCAAACGACGTTTCGTCAAACGCTAATGGTCTGCGACGCAAAAAAGGAAGGGGTTGGGGTGGTAGGGGTATTCAAAAATTGCCTAAAAATCTACATTTAAATACGCTTTACATATGAGAACTTTATAATTTGTAAGTTAGTATATTTTTGAAGCAAAAGCAACATTCCAATTTGATTTTTTTAAATGTGTATTTGTAGATTTATAGCAAAGTGATTGACCCCCGTCTGAAAGACGCGCGGGAACGCGATTTATTGAGAAAGGGGGAGGCGGTAATTTTCCGCTATTAAATCAAAACTGGTCGTACAAAAATTCTACAAAAAATGATGAAGATTATTTTTACTACGAGCTACGTAAAGAAAGTTTTTTACCAAAATTAAACGGCAGGTTTTTTCACAAAAAAATTTTGAATTTGAAAAACACACAATTTTCAAGGCTTAGATAATTCATAGTTTTTCAGTTTAAGGTCTTTAAAAATTGTTTTGATGATATGTATATTAAAAAGATGACTACGTTTTTGTGTTAAATGGTTAAAGGAATAAGTCAGTGAAATTTGACATTTATATGTAACCTGGCTTTTTTGAAAATCAAGGTTTAAGTAGTTCATTGATTAAAAATTTTCTCTCCTTGTAAACAACTAAAGGGGGGTAACTTTTGGAAGTTCCTGTCCAAAAACCACTCGAACGATTTTGTCCAAAATGTGCATGTATGCAGTAAATGTAGTCATGTACTAAATATACAAAAATAACGAAAATTAAACGACAGGAATTTTTTGGGGTAGGTGTGTTGTACATCCTTAATCTCCCATTTTTTTAAAAGACACAATTCTCGTCATTTTCTAGTGTTTAATTGAAAGTTAAATGTTGGCATTGGTGTTTGTGATCATAAACATGTTTGTTTTACTCTGTTGAATCGAACGATATGGGAAAAACGGCTCGACGAGTTGTAATGCATTTGTTGCTTCAAAATATTGGAATCATCACAAGTGACAATAACGTTAATTAATCAGACTTACAGAATAAAGAATCTAAATAAGAGACATCTTAAGAGATAGTTTCAGCAAGTTTGGACGGGTGATTGGGTACTAAATGATCTGCAGAGGACAAAAAGACCGAAAGATAGGAGACCGGACGGAAACGTTCAAGGTGTCTGACGTCAAAAAAAGACAGACGTATAGTGAACATGCATATGTGAATTTCTAAGTTTGGTTTTGCTACTACTCAAAAAAATATTGACAGAGGGCTTAATCATGAAACGATTGAGTGTATAATGGTACCAAGAACTCTTTTAAAAAGTGGAACTAGTGAAAGTGTTTGCGAAACACAAATATTTTTTTAATGAAACGAAGGGGAAACGCTTGAAAGTATGACGGTGCGTATCCGTCATATGACGTTATATTTAGATGCGGCGACTACCATAAGCGGAGATTGTTTAAAATCCGATATTTTAGAAAGTATATATAATATTCTTGTTAATTTTTCAGGTCTGACTTGAAACAAATAAAGCTTCCATCATGTATAATTTTGTTGCTTTACGTTGATTTATAGCAATTTTATCAAAGTTTTCACATTACTTTTGGATCAACCCTCGTACAAACCATTCTACAACAGTAAGAAAATATCATTTTCTCTAAGTAAATTAAATCTTTCAAAAATATCTTAAAATGTTTTAGGTTTGACTTTAGTACAAAACGCTGGGGCATTTATTTTACATGTACATTAATCAGTCTTCAATTCTTAAATATTCGTTAGATCCATGTGTAATTTGACGATTCATAGCGCAAGGATTGGCGATCTGCAGTTACTTTACTTCAACCAATATTTATTAAAATGCACAAGCTTTGCTCTTTTCACACACAAATAAATCCGTTTTCAACACAAGTTTTCCGAAACACATTTTTTTTTATCACAGATATTAACCATGGCTATACCAATTTTAAACTTTTAAAGAGAATCTTCCGAATCGTAAGGATAGAATTATACTCAATGAAATGGACTAAACATCGATAAGTAACACCGGCACATGTAAACTTCATAAGTGACTTCTGTGGTGCACACTGTCTATTAATTTATATTACAGGTTTTATAGTAAAGTTCAAGATATAATGATTTTAAAGCAGTGAACTAAATTTGTTTTATAATTTATTCAAAACCCGTATAAATGATTAGTATAGTGTGCTAACATTGTAATTTTGTTCCGTGATTAAATATCAGTAGCAGGTTATACATTGTACATTCAAGTAGTAAAAAACCCGCATATGTCCAGAATAGAAAATTTAAGAACTTATATACCGGGGTAACAATCTTATCTGAATATTACAGACTTATCATGTAATTAAACGCTTTTACAATCTAAATTAAACTGTTAAAATCATAACCGGCACCAAAGTCAAACCATTTGTATCGTTTACCGTATATAACTCATTATTTTCTTTAAAATGATGAACTTATATCTAGCGCAAATTACTTTCCTTGTTTTTCAATTTTCAAATTCAAGTTTTTACCAGCGAGTCCCTGTATCAAGTATTGTCTAATTTTTATTCTATTAAACATAATCTCCCTTTCCTATTTAAATTTAATTTAATATTTGATGATTTTATTCAACTTCAAGCACAATATCATTATGTAGTACTAAAATGAAGTCCATGCACGGATGCTATTGTACATCGGGAATTTTCTTTAATCTTTTATCCATGCATATCTCCTTCAAGCAAAATAATTATGAATGAATTGATTGAATAACGTGTATAAAACCATGTGGTTTCGGTTTGTCAACGTGTTTTAGATCATGATCAGCAAATCACAACTCCTCGTTTTTTTTAAAATTATCATTCGTATTTCTCAATTTATCATGTTCAAATTACATGTATTTATTTTTTAGGGAACATTAAACCTTATTCGTCAGGCAGTCTGTCCATCTGTCACGAGAACATTAAACTTGATAATAACTATTGAATGAGTTGAAATAGGACTTTGATATTTCATATGTGCATTATTTGTGACATCTGATTTTCAAATATACTGTGGTTTTTGACCCTGTGACCTTAATCTTGGAGCTTGACCTACTTAAAAAAAAGATTACTTTAAACTGACCAAAACTTTTGAAAGCTTCCATTTTATAAAAATGTATTCACTGTGACAACACATTTCAAAACTCACTGATTTTTTACCTTTGACCTTGAAGTTTGACCTGTTTTTAAAAAAACATTAACAATACTCATACCTTTTGAATGAGAAGAGATAGGGCTTTTATTTTATCCCTGTGTATTACTTAGACAACTCTTTTCTAAATACACTGACTTTTGACAACTTGACCTTGAGGCTTGATCATAACTTTTTAATGAGAAGAGATAGGGCTTTCATATTACACAAACATCACATGTACGTAACCTGTGATAAATTCATTTCAAATACTAGTATATCATGAACTTTGACCTTGAAGTTTATCCGGCTTTTCCAAAATTTAAACATTGCTTAAAATTGACCATAACTTTTTACACATGTATATTAGCTGTGACAAGCTTATCGAAAAAAAAGGTATAGCTTAAATCATGCAGAGTGTGTTATGGCCTTGAATCAAGGTCATTTAGGATAAGATATTTTGGCTGGATGCATTGTTTGAAAAAACAGGTGTGAATTTGTCAATACGGTAGCACACAGATGGGATATGCTCATCACCAGCGTGTGTCATGGTGTGACCAAATGTCATTTTGACAAGGTCAAGGTCGCAAATATTCCTTTACTATCCTTTTTTAATAGTAAAACATAATAAGATGATATCTACCCTTAAAAGATTGCTTTAAAATTAGAACGTGGCATGACCTTGACTCAAGGTCATTTCTCTCTGTCCGCAGCTCCGACGGAAGACCTACTCGTTGCTTTGCAACGAGCTCGGCTCTAGTTGTTTTAATTTTTATGTACTTTTTATGTATTTTTTTTATATCTTTGTTTACATTAAGATATTATTGCACACATTTGTCATTGTGGACTTTACTTAGATACTAAAACATTCGTCTACGAGTGTTTTGACAACCCTTGTAGTTGACATGTTAACAACAAAGACAAACGTGATATTTTACAGGCTGTCTGAAAAAAGGAGTTTATGGAAGCGACTGCAATATCCCCTGTCCGGAAAATTGCCAACATCAGAGATGTTATGTAGTGAATGGAAGCTGTATTGAATGTAAATCTGGATGGACCGGACATATCTGTGCAAGAAGTACTTAGCACTTAATTGTTAAAGTCTAGCCTTCCATAGAAATCTTTTCATCAATAGATATACATTCATTTGTATTTTCATTTCATTATCATAAAGACCATCTGAAAGAAAGACGATATTTTTAAAGACAGAAACTAAATTTTTAAATATATGCTTTTAAACATGATGCATAAGTTCATGTATTTACACATGTACACTGTTTTAATTTATTTTTAATTACTGATTATATATAACAAACGTGTTATAATTAATAAAAGAATCTATAGAAAAAAAATCAGCTTCGTTTTACAGGAATCTACAGTGTAACAGTTTAAATAGTATAAATTTTAAAAGAAAGTCACCCATACCTTTTCAAGTTAATATTTTCTCAAGTTTTCTGTATGATATCCTGACTTAGAAGTTGCAATAGCATTTCAAAGAAAATACATTTAGATGAATCAAATATATTTTGAAATACAATCACTGATGTTGACATTTTCTGGGTAAAAACTGTACCTACATACAATTTTTTCAATCCTGGGTCGTGAGAGGAAAATTAAACATTATTTTTCGGTTAATCTTAATTAAATTATTTTATGTATTTGGTATTGCTGTATGTTGAAGTGTGGTATATAGTTTACTATATAGTTTACTACTTTCTGTAATTCAGGATGTAATTAGAAGTTTTCTTTTTAAATGAACAGAGTGCTCTGAAGGATGGTTTGGACTCGGTTGCACATACCAGTGTGTAGGACATTGTATTAACAACGACTACTGTAATCACATTTCTGGTTTATGTGATGGCGGATGTGCACCAGGATGGACTGGACCTAAGTGCGATAAAGGTAATGTGTTTTATTTGTATTCTTAAAAAAAAGGAGCAGAGAATAATTTCTAAATAAGACATATTATAGTGTATAATGCTTTTTAAATGGTCTTCTAATTATCCTGAATATATATAGTGATAAAAAATGTTCAAGGACTTTTACAGACTTTATATTGCTTAGAATACCTTTAATTAAGTTTGAATGGATATTTATCTAAGAAATTCCTCGAAGAATATGAAGTACTTGTGAAGAAAACTCATCATTGCATACTCCGATGTAAATGTTTCTTTAATCATTATGTCAGTCAAAGAGAACGTTAGAAATAGTTTGACTGATTAGGAATTATATAAAATAGTCCATATTGCATTATTATTTTTAAATTTGATATAAAATAATGGATTAGTCGTATTTAACTGAAAAGGGGGTCCATAAATACTTCTGTGACTAAACACTTATTTGAGAATAAAGCCTCGTAATAAGAAAAAAAAACTTCTAAACTAATAAACCTTAAATGTTATGTTAAAACACAAAATATTTTTTACAGAATGTGAAAATGGGATGTATGGAATAGACTGCGTACACAATTGCAGTGGACATTGTTATAATAATTCCTATTGCAACAAAATATCAGGTCACTGTGACACAGGTTGTGGTCCAGGGTACATTGGGACCTTCTGTGAGAAATGTATGTTGTACATATATTTTAGTCAATATATTTTTTTTTCAAATGGTTTTAAAAGGAACAACATTTTTAAATAATCCAAATGACATTTCTTTAATTTTAAAATAAACTTTGATCAATTTTTGACAGCCTGTGCCCCGAGAAGATTTGGTAACTTATGCAAAGAAACTTGCAGCGGTCACTGTGTAAATAACATGATGTGTAATCATGTTGATGGAGTCTGCACGCAGGGTTGTAATGACGGTTACATTGAAGAAATGTGCAACAAACGTAAGGAGCGTACAAGAGAACGCCGAATGTCATAATCTTAATTAATTTATCATTTAATAAAACGTCTCACTGAAATGATATACTGCGAAATCACTAATTATCAAGGGTGTTTATTTCGGTGGTTTTCAAGGTATGAAGAGACCCACGAATGTATGTCCACCACGTAGTGCAATTTTTCAAATTACTACTGAACAATTCTTCAAAATCAAATCTTAATGAATCAATATATATTTTCCTAAAATCACGAAAATTTGACCACTTGAAAAGATGTGATTTAACAGTAAACGTATCTCGATCTGAAAGTGAATCGTAACAAATTCATATAAATGTGTTACATTTAAACAATTGGTGTGCAGAAGTATTAAACCATATTTCTTCTTTCAGCGTGTGAGGTGGGCTATTTTGGGTCGCGATGTTCTCGGAAATGTTCGGTAAATTGCATCAATGAATCCGTTTGTAAGAATACTGATGGAGCTTGTCGATGTGCGCCTGGCTGGAAAGGGTCACCACTTTGCAACATAGGTTTAGTCCGCATTATTGATTAGGGAATCTTAATATTCGTAAAAATCTGCAGTCAATTGCATTTTGTTTAAATATCACATCAAGCACATACACATGTATATCAATTTTAGTAGGGATTTTTCTCATAATGAATTAAAAATCAAGTAAAATTTACACACATTCAAGAGGAAAAAATGTCATTAGAGAAGGTACATGTAATAAAAAATTTGAAATTACACCTGAACAAGTATAATTAGAAAAATTTCAGGTAAACTTCCCGATTGGAAATATATGAAAACAAATTTGACATGTTCGTTTTTCAATGTCAACAAAGGTTTCCAAGATCAATATTCCTGTATCTAAATAAAGTAAAAATAAATGACAATACATATAAGAATATTTATTCAATTCATGAAACAATTCCATAGTTTATTAAACTTCATCTATTTATATGAAAGAATTGCTTAACAGCCATATGAACTGTTTGAAGCTTTTTAACATTCACTGACACACACGTGTCTATTATATACTGTAGACGTACTTTTTTCCACGGGGTCATAATTCCGCGGAATCTCAATTTCTGTTTTATCCGCGGGTAGAAAATTGCGCGGATATTCTAGATTGTCACTATATGCCTTACATTTATATTAAGTTCGCTTATACAGATTTCCGCGGAAAATTTGTGGCCGCGTACATAGCGTAAATTAATACCACGCGGATAAAAGTACTTCTACAGTATATGAACAAAACGTAAAATATTTCATTACCAAATAATTGATCAATTCTTTTTCATTTATCTTTTTCATTATCAAATGTTTTACTTATCCTTTTTTTTAATAAAGAATGTTCCCAAGCATATGGTGAGAACTGTCAAACTCCCTGCAGTGAAAACTGTGTGAACCGCACCTGTGACAGATTCAATGGAAGTTGTTTGACTGGATGTAGGGATGGAACTTTTGGAGAAAAATGTGATCAATGTTTGTGAATAAATTTTATATTCAACATTATTTTTAATCTTTCTTTACTGTCTTTGTAAACTACTTTTCTTATAGCTCGCTTCCGTATTCTTGAAGATCATTTAATTTTAACTCTTGAAATTGTATGATAACCGTACGATAATTGAAAGAATTCAAGTAATTATAATGACATTTCTCTTACAGCATGTTTATATTTTACTTTGCCTGACTTTATGAAGATTCATCATGTTGTTTCCTCCTTTTACCTCAGGGAGAATAGCATCAAGTGGCGATTCAGGATCCCCTCTTACATCTGTTGTGATTGTTGTTGTTTCAACAGTTTTCATCATCCTTGCTGCCGTCGTTATCTTCTCTATACGGTGTGTATGCATATAAGTATCCCTTTATGGATTGCAGATCAAATGTTGCATTTTTAGACCTACGCAGTACAGTTAAGGCAACACATGAAAAAAATATGGTAATGAAGTTATAATGAGGTCTGACGTCATGACAGTTGCTCCGCCCCGATTGATCCATATAAGGAAATGGTGCTCAAAATAACTATTTACCGATATTTGCAAGACTTTGAAAAAAACAGCAATATCTTCATGTTTAAATAGAAAATAATTAATGATTTTCTCGTATATAAAACAGCATGTCTTTAAAATAATATTCTTTTTAATGAGTCGTTTGGCTGCATTCGGCTTCAGCCAAGCGCTCTGCATTCGGCTTCAGCCAAGCGCTTGCACTCGGCGACACGGAATGTTGTTTACATCTAAAAACGTGGCGACATCAGCTGAGATTTGCAGTGGATTTAAATGCAATAACCACACAATCTTTAAAGAAAATTGGGATAAAATAAGAGACAAGGCATTGCTTTTCCCTTTTACGAGAATATGAGGACATTATTAGCAGAAAACTGAGACGATTTGCACCAGCTTCGTAGATCCATCACTGCACTGCAATTCCAGGCCAGGTATGTATACGCATATGTAGATACATGTGTAGATCTACAATATGTAGACATGCTTTTGTTAACATAAAAAAACCCGAGTGTGTACATGTTCATTTAAATGTATTACATGTATCACAGTCAGTGAAAAACTGTAATGCAGTGCCTTGTGTTTAACCCCCCCCCCCTCCCCTCCCTATACTAGGTTGCACACTTTTTATTATTAAATTATTGTTAAAAATTAATTGCACTAAATATGTACTGAGTTCTTGTCAATTAGCTCATTTTCTTTGAGACAATATGTGCAATAATGGAGGTCATCAGTTACACAAATTTAAACTAGATTAAATGAGATGTTTTCATTGTTTCACTCAATGATTCACTAGTGACTAGTTAAATACAAATATGCCTAGCAATTACAAAAAAAATATCAGTATCATTTTGTTGAAAACAGAGAAACCCCACTTCAGATCTATGGTTGTATATTCTAGAATTTCTAAATTAATGAAAAAAAATAATTCATTTTTTGTTTACATGTACATTAAAAATATTTATATAATACTTTTATCATTGTAGCTGTCAAGAGTTTCAGGCTTAAAGCATGAAGAAATAAAAAATGCATCATTTCTCCACAGGGTATGTATACTTTTAAAGCATTTCAGTTTTAAATTATGCATGTGCTATACATTTTGTTTGTTTATTGTTGTTTTTTTTTTTCATTTTGGTAAAGGAGAAAATTTTTTATTTAGAAAATATTCTATCAATAACTATTGTAAATTTCAGAGGTTTCACTTTCCCAGGGAAGTTTTTGTAACACATTTTTTTTCCATTTATATGAATAACATAAATCACTACAGTATACAATGTAGCATAATTTGTTTTGTCAAATGTAATGCCATTTTATTCTACAATGTATATTTAGTAATCTCATATAACTGCATATATATTGTGTTGTAGGCATAGCTATTCCCAAAATGTTGGACTAATGGATTCATTCAGGCAGCAAGTTAATCCATCATTTAAGGAAAATGGTATGCTCAATATAAGCTATAAATCATACAAAGTTTTGATAATAAAACTAACAGAAGAATTGAAAACATGTATACATTCTATGTTAAATGTTTCAATACATTTTTCATTTCATTTTTATAAACACAAATTACTTTCAATAATGGTATTGTATGATTTTTTTCATATTTTCAGAATGCATTTTATCCACAAGAAGTCAGAACATAAAGTGAAGGAAATAATTTGCACCTGTCCAACATTCCTAGTCTGTCATTGGATTTGAAAAGAAATGCTTATTAAATAAATTTTCTAGATAAATAATAATTTGACTTTTTCTTATATTTACTGTACAGGTGTTGAAAAGACTATTAAGATTTGAAAATCTTAACTTGCATACTATTTTGTGTGGAGGGTACTTATTTCCAATATGTGCATTGTGTTCATTTATTTTTCAATAATATTACCAAAAACAGGAGACAAAAGATCCCCCTAATTGATTCAAAATAGGATAGGGGACCATCATTTGATTCTGAGGGAAGGGGGATGGGGGCTGGCAAGTTTTTCCACGTCAGATTTTTCATGTCAATGAAGGACAGATTAATATTTATTTCCTATCAATAAGATGAAGGACAGATTATTTATTTATTTTCCTCTTCATTGAAAAGTCTAACGAGCCAAAAAAAAAAAAAATGAAAAAAAAAAAACAGACTCTGATTTGTGAGAGGGGGGATCACTGATCTGAAAGTATTTATTTTTAAAATCTGCCAGCCCCTCTGACAACCTTAAAAGAAAATAGTTGTCCCCTAAACAAATAAAGCAATATACCCCATCCCTTTTAATTAGTTCCTAAAACTTATAACTTAGTTTAAATCCCTTAATTAACAGTGAGCAGTCTGATTGAAAGCGATCGTAGAACATGATCTAGTATGCAGAAAGAAAAAAAAATATTAACACAAGTGTGTGTACCATTGGCGTGAGAAGCAAAATGAAAGGAGGCTTATTGAAAGGGGGAGGGGGGGGCTAAACCAAAAGAAAAAGGTAAACTCTAATGCCTACATTATGTATATAATTTGTAAATAAGTAGGGAGGCTAAGCCAACCCCCACCCCCCCCCCCCCCCCCCCCCCCCCCCCCCCCCCCCCCCCCCCCCCCCCCCCCCCCCCCCGGTTCCGACGCGTGTGCGTACAGTAGTGAGAGAGGGGTATAATTATCTAATTAATTATTAATGGATCCTATATCTTAATTAACAATTTGTGTTCTACATAAATACATGTATATCGGCAATATGTATTAGACCTATGTGTGTGTAATACTACATGTATATACACATCTTTGAGGAAATGCGGGAGGCTTGAAAGACATTAAATGTATACAATGTATAGAGAATGAATACACAGAATAGAAAGAAATATCAAGGATTTTTATGCAAACCATTTTGATATAGTAAAAAAAGAGTCCAGTCCTGTCCGCGTGTATATTTATTTAAAATCTACTAGGTAAACAAACTAGATCAAGTACTCAAGAGTTATCTCCCATGCTGGGTCATTGATGCGTTTGAAAACTATAATTAGATTGACTCTTCCAAGATTTCAATTTTTAATCAAAAAGTGCAAGGGCAAGGCGACAATCTAAAAAGTAGGTTTTTATTTTAAATGATTTATTTTATTGTAAAGTTTTCAAAAAGCGATGCTCATTTCTTTGTAATCCCTTAGTTAATTTATAATTCGCGATGAAATTAGGAAAATATCCTATTTTTCATGCATTACTGTCTGTTTTAGCTGAATAACTTAATTATATCGGAAAACTAACTGAATGAGCATCACTTTTGAGAAAGTATAAATACATAGAGACAACACAAAACATTGTGCAGTTAATTTTTTGTTTGCCTTAACCTTGCACTTTTTGGTTAAATTTGACATCTCATTTTTTGACCTAAAATCGGAGCCCACGTGACCTCAGGGGGTCACATGATGTAAAAAAATACCGATGTGAAAAGCGATTGGCATTCTCTTCAAAATGACAAATACCTATTTTTACTAGAGTGTCCTGCTCAAAAATAATACTATTAAACATTATATGTATCGGATTCCGTGAGTTTTTATAGAAAATGTTGCCTTAACTGTACTGCGTAATCTTAAAAATAAAACAGGTATTGTATAAAACCAATTTTCTTTAAAATGGACTTATTTATTAGTTTTATCTGTTAATATTTACAAAAAAAACTGTATAAGTAATTGATTATTATCAAAGAGTATATTTGGGATTAAATATGCATTTAAAGGAGTCTTTTAAATAAGTTTTAAATCATTTAATATTAATAGTTGTCCAAAAATACCCGCATGGTACCATTTAAACTTGGTATTAAATGAAACAGGGGGTGTAATATGTCATAGGGTATATAGCGTCCTAAACAACACACATATTGCCAATAAATCTGAGTATTGAATAAAACAGTTCGGTGTTTTGTTTACTACATCTACCTAAATATGTAAATACATGTATGTCGGTCATCGCTAAGTTTTTATTCAAGAGAGGCAACCAATAGGATTAACTTTGAGAAATAAATACACATTCCAAAGATATAAAATACTTTATGATAAAATGTGCTTCATATTCTATAGGTATTATAACAATAAATTACCACGATCATATTCTTATTGTTGATACCATTACATTTGTTTATTTTTTCTTTATCTATCAATTTTTTTGTAGGCGAAAGATTGTACAAAACTTCAAAACAAGCAAGAAATGTTCTGAGAATAACGGCACTGAAAGCATTGAAGATGTCTCAGAGAACGTAAATGAATATCAGGAATTAACTGTCGCTAGAGATAACAATGAATATCAAAGCATACGAATGTCAGAGGTTACCTCAGTTGAACAAAGCAACACGTATCAGAACCTTGTCTTGACTACACTGTAGTTTTTTAAACGATGTTTTACTTCCTTGTATTCATTATAGACCAGTATTTCCATCAGAAGTCCCAGGGGCGAAAGATTTTGGTTTTCGCATTTCGTCAAAATCCATTTAGTTTACAATATATTTTGTTCCAATAATTTTTTCGGCATCTTATACCTGAAAAGAAGAAAACACTTGCTGTTGATTTTAGAAATCAACGACGTATTGTCATTTAACAATTATAGACCGTTCACGGTAACTCAGTCGGTAGAGCGCTCGTTCCGTGATTGGGAGGTCATGAGAATATCGGCCGTGACTGATCTAAGCCGATAAAAAATGGATAGCAACTGTTCTTTCGCCATGCGCTCGGCACTTTTAAGTGAAAGCTGCGGGTCCTTCGGTGACCTTTCAGCTTTCAGCGACCGGCGTTGGCACGATAAAGATCCCTCACTGTTCAATGACCCTGAGTGCCGAGTAATGTCAAAATTTTAAGCTCTTCACCGAGATATGGTGACGTCTCAATATGGTGAAAATTTCTCGAGAGGGACGTTGAACAATATACAATCATTTGACAATTATAAAGTAATTTCTATTCCTATGTCTAAAGGATATTTCCAAGTGAGCTTGAAATAAAAGATACGACAGAATTTGACATATCTCTTTCATATTTTAAAACAAATTACAACCAGGCTGTATGATAAACGTGATGACTAACTTTCCAATCGTCAACTTCCCTTACTTATACAGCAATCTACGTTCTTCACCTGCATACGGAGTTTATATCTCTCAATTGATTCGGTATGCGAAACCATGTTCTACATATGCACAATTTCTAACAATTTTTTAAACGAGGTAAATTAATGACGAACAAATTGCTGAAAAAAGAATATCAGCAGTCTCATATAAAGTCATTATTTCTTAAGATCAATGGTCGATACATTGACTCTTTCAGCAAATACAAATTATCTGTAAATCAATTGCTGACTGACGTTTTTCAGTCTAATTGTTAGGCTATTTTATACAAACTGAATTCTCCACAGATTTTTCCGTTATTTCCTGATCATGACAAGGAGCTCAAGTCGGGTGTGACTGGTCGGCAAGGGATGCTCATGCCTCAGTGGAAATAGACTCCATCTTTTATGTTCGTGTTCGCTGTGTTCAAATTTTGTATTGATTGATAGTTTTTTATAGCTTTAATATATCATTGCATGCACATAAAGATTTTTAAAAAATGTATGTTAAACTACTTTTGATTCATAAAATAATTTGTAAATAAAGCACAGACAAAAAGGTTCCATAAATGATTATTCTTTGGAACAAATATGTTTATAAAAAGATGATTGTAACACCGTTATGTGCTGTGTGAGTGATTACGTGTATTTCTATTTATAAAGGAAAAAAGTGGCAAAATCATGTAACTGTATTTACAAAAATGTTAAGCAAGTAAAGTGTATGTAATCTTCATTGCCTAATTATGTGATCTCATTTTAAATTGTAATTCATTTTCTCCTTTGTTACTTGTCTACTTCATTTACGTTAGCAACGCATTTTTTCATCAATATTTGTGAGTAATTCTAAATATGACGACTTTGAGTTAGGTGGCTCATGCACAATTTTTAAGTAAGCAAACATATTCCTTTTCTTCGTCTGTAGCGTAAACAAGAAGAAAAATCTTAGAATTTTGAATGAGCCCGAAAGTACTCTCATGCATTTCGAAGAAAATATTGTTTGATAAAGATAATTTTTCAATTCAACAATGCTATTTTATAAATAATTCCAAGCTCTGACAAGAGCATATTTCTCGTGAAGGAGAGTACACCAAAAGTCACTTTTTATCCTGCATTAAAATCTTGATCAGTGCCGGAATATCTAAATACGGAAACAGTAAGTTTATGAGCTTAGGTATTAATATTTACCAGGAAGTAAAAATCTGAAGTGGAAAATACATGTGTAGACAAGAATATCCATCCCCTTAGTGCACTTTACAGGGAAATACTTACATTTACAAATACTTTTCCTTTTGCTACTGTATCTATGCAAGACGTATTTATTTTGGGGTAAAACATGTTGAATTTCTTCACAGCTCCTTTAGTTTGTCAAAGACATCTGGTGTAATTTATAGTGACGTCATAAGCAGCGGATGAATTCAACACATTCAGTTAATACATTTGAGTTTGAAAAAAAAATATTTTATTTTGTAGGATAAAGACTTCAGCACATTAAATACATAATCTGTATCAAAGCTTAATATACGTTATGAGATATAGTTTTTAAACTTTTGTTGATATTAAATAAATGTACGGGATTGCATGTTTAAAATCTTCAATAAAGCCCATATGATTTGATAACAAAACAAAACCGTGTTACACCCCATTTAAAATTTTAATTTAGGGGGGCACGTTATTTTTTAAAGAAAATGTAAAACGTATGATGTTTTCTTTAATTTTCGTTTTTTGAAATTTGTATTTACTTTTACTAATTGTGATTTTGGAAATAAAAAAGACTTTGGTTTATTATAATCTAGCATTGCAAGGCTATGACACATTTGTTCGACTTTTTAAACAAATGCATGTATTCACCCTTCCGCTGTAGATATTATAACGATCAGTCTTTATTACTTACTCATATCAGAATCTCAGATCTATTTTGCATGACAAATTTGTTTTATTTAAAACAAAACAATTACCAGGTTATTATAAAAAAAGGTAATGATTTAATTCATTCATTGTATTTTTATTGTGATTTAATGCAAAAGAAAGCTTAAAATTATGATTAGATATCATCTCTTTATCGTCAAGCACTATCTGAAATTTAAATGTTTCTCTAATATATTCAAAATATAAAGTTAAGCGGAAGTCGACATCGGAAATTAAAACGACCAAAGAAAACAATAGTAAAAAAAAATGTATTTGCACTTATTTTTTTTAGCGGTGAGCGTCGCTAACCGCTTTATAACATGTGTCCAACGATATTACGCAATTTTTATCGACACCAGAAACTTCCATAAGGCGCTACCTATCGACAACGGAAACTTCAACAAAGCCTCTATCGATGATTTGTTTCTAACACATACAACATATCTTAAATAAATTCAAGACTATCAAAACAACATAATCTTTTGGTTTTTAATTTTTTTCTGATTTTGTTTGTCAATGAAATATATTTATAATTGTTGTATTAAAAAAGTTTAGGAGCTCTAGGAGAATCTCGACCCCAAATGTATAGGAGCATTTGGGGTCGAGATTAAAATTCCGTGACTTCAGCTGATGGCGATCGGGCCCTTGACGAAATTCGAAGTCAGCATGAAGTTTAGCTGACAACATTATCAACGCTTTGGATTTAAACTCTAGGAAGAAATGTATAGCTATAAATATCATATTTGAACCCAATGCTACACGAAAATCAGTAGGCATATCCGATTTATATGTTAAATTGACGCCAGAATCGAACAGGGGGTCAAAATGGCGTTGCACACCTTGTTTATTTATATATAGAGGGGGTAGAATGTTTCGATATTTGGCTAATTTAGAGACTTACTGATAAAAATTCAGGTGCTTGTGATTAATTATAAAGCACTCCTCATAAACAATAAATATTTGACCGAATTATGCTACTGGGCACAGGGAGGACGGGTTAATTACTGGCTAAAGGGGTTGAAGGTTAGAACCCACTGCAAAACATCCGATAATCTCCCGATCGAGTTTCATTTCCATTGCCAAAATATTAAGGCAGCCCTTTAATTAACTTAAGTAATACTAGTACTTGAAGAATGCCTTTATATAAAAATACTGAACACATCTGTAAGTTGTACAGTTATGGAAACAATAAGATTTCCTCCATAATGAAATGTTTGTTTTCTTCTACTTTTTTTCTCAATTGAAATTATTTAAAAGATGATAAAAGCATTATTTCCATGGATAAATTCTGTAATCAGTCTATTTATTATAAACCATTATAAACGATCACATTTTTATTTAAAAAAAAATAATGGGACCCTGAAAATAGTAAAAATTAATTTTTAAAAATTGGAAAAAAAAATTAATCGGCATTCGATCCTCTTCTAAAAATCAGCCGAAATAAAATTTGCACAGAAACAAGAGGCATGAAAAATCTTGACAATTAGCACAAATTGAAAATTATATCTAATAAATGATTTTTTTTTAAAGTTCGCTTAATTCCTATGCAAGGTATAAGTATAAAGTATAACAATGTATTGCCTATGCGACATATTAAGTTATCTTTATTATCTTGTTTACTCGTCTTTCTTCCTGTGAGAGAAATAGTTCATCATATTAATAAACAGATGTACTCAGTATCTGTATCAAAATACAGAATGAACAGTGATCGGTCTCAATAGTAAAACGGATCCTGGAAAGTTCCGGTGCCTAGGAGAAGTAAGCATCCCGAATGACAGGTCACACCTGTTGACCCGCAGTGAGCCTACGAAAATGAAGCTCTCTGAAATTAATTTACAAATTCTCTGCTCGTCCATCCGTTTTTCTCAGACTAGCCAGCTATAGATCTATGTACAGTACTCCAAATCAATTAATTTAAAGAATTTGAATTATCATTTTATTTTGTTTTTGAGTTGTTTGCTATAGTAGCCTTTACAATTACCTAATTTCAGAATCAATAGAGCATGAAAGACAATTACTTTTGCAACATCAACATATTTTTTTCGTTCTGAGCACTTTTGGACGCCACCAATGGAGACAATTAGGAATAAATTTTTGAAATTGAACTTCCTGTCTTTCAAACTGAAAATCTCAGGTTGATATTTTGAAACATAAATTTGTGACATCAATCTGGGATGTTATTGGTTTTACCATTTAGTTAAGTACTACAAAATTCAGTGTGTCTGCTTCTTCGCTGATGACATTGGACAAAGATATGCATGCTTACTTTAATATCATCATTCAATGCATTTTTTGTTATTGTACACTGTACATATTCGATGAAAGCATGCTAACCGCTTTTCAGTACTTTCAGTACTTTGATTCATTTATTTTCGCACAATGAAAATTTAAAAAAGCTTTCTTTCTCATAGACTTCTACATGTAGTTACCTTCATCGAGTACAGAGAACCAAGAATATTAAAGTAAATTCAATTTTTATAATTAAAAACAGTTTACTCTTAAGTTACAAATGGGAGAATATGGAAAATGGAAATCAATCACATGTTTT